AATAATAATAATAATAATAATAATAATAATAATAATAATGTCATCTAGACGTTGCCGTAAAATCGAACTATGCACAAATATAGTTGTATCTGTGATGCACCAGACCACTTTTTTATGGTGTACGCGTGACACGTGTATTATGAAATTAAATTGATATTGATTTCGTGAACTAGTATTTAGCATTTTTATAACTTCACTCGTAATATATAAATTATTGTTGTATACCTACGTATTGCGTATGCATCGTATGCGTAAAATATTGGTTTTTAATGAGAAATATACAACATGTTTCAAAAAGAAAAAATTATCGAAACGTTAAAGTTTGTACACTCGACGACGACAGCGGTTCCGAAAACGTAATACTGTACAGTTATTTTAATCATAATTACCTGGCAGGGTTTCCGTGTCGTTGACGCACTGGCCAGGTCTGGGTTCGGGTACCTTAGTGGAAAGCACCGGGAGCCAGGCTGAAGTGGAGCTGGCTTGTTCCTTGAACCGTCCGGCGAACGCGTGGTCAATGTCCTCGAGCCGGAACGTGCATATAGCCGAGCCCATCAGGCCCGTGGTTGACGTGGTGAACACTCCGTAGAAAAGCGTGTCGTCACCTGGTACTTTGTAAATGCTCTCTGCGGGCGCGGAGAAAACGGGTTGTTAATGTATTTCAAATTAAATATCATTCAGTTAAATGGTCGAAGAACCGTTCCCTATTTGTGTTTCATTGCAGTCGGCATGGAAAATTCGAATAAGTTCGGAAACGTCAACGACATGATTATTATTCGTTTCCCAAAATATTTACATTGGCATGGTATTTCACTAACAATCGATGTTCCAAGTGAAAACTGACAAACATGATTGTATGCACCTTTCGATACTCGTACCATCATAATTATAACGGTTATCGACCATATGCCGACTATAAATAAGGCTGAACAATGAGGGCATTATTTTTTTACGTTTATTTCAAGTACTTCAAGCGTGGATCGTTAATGTTAGCTGTACGTGTATTAGAGACGCAATAAACGTATAATTAATTGACGCTATCAAGTTGAAAAAAAAAAAAAAATGAGACGGCGAATATTGCTGAAACGCAGTTATAATTGTTTTGTCTCTGAACCTGTAGATAAAAACATATCCGGCTAGTGAACTACGCGTACTTAAATGTTATTCATAAAAAAATTTTTAAAAAAAATTGCGTCAACGAAAACGCGATTTATCGCGCGTTTGCCACCATCGAACATAGCTAGTACGAAGTTGGATGCGTGTACTCACGGATCTCGTTGAAATAGAACGGGTATTCGCCGGGTATGGAACAGTTGAGCCGAGCTTTTAGGTACGTGGCCCAATTGTGGTTGAGTATGTTCTTGCCACCAGTGTCCTTTTTGCACACTCTGGCCACGCGGGAAAATATGCTTTTGCCGCAGTTGATGTACTCGACGGCAGTCTCGCGGAAGAAGAAAAACACGTACTGGCCGATGTCGTAGGAGCCCACAAAGTCCGGTTCTGCGGAAAAAATAAAAATAAAATCAATGAACCGGCAGATTGCAGCCACAAGCCGATTGGATGTGCGCGGGACAACAGCCTAACGTGCGAGTCGGACGCAATATTGTTGACGCGTAACGCGAACGGACGACGAAAATAAAATGGATTGTTCGATCGTCGACACGAAAATCATTCAAAGACAGGGTCAAAAATACAGGTATCGCGTACAAATACGCGGTGCCCTTCCATTTAGCGTAGTGGTGCCCAACCCGTGGCCCGCGAAGGTATTCTATATGGCCAATTATGAATTTTCTAAAATAAAAAAAAATTTTAAAAATGTATGAAAACATTTTTAAATTATTTATTTACATATATTATTTTTATTTAAATTTATGAATTCGTTTAAATAATTATTCCAAAAAATACAATTATGTACACTTCAATTCATAATCTTTTCAATAGACAATAAAAGATAAAAAAACAAGTCCAATATATAAGATTATTTTTGTACTTTCATACTTTTTGATCCGTTTAAAGATAATTGTTTACCAAAGCGGCCCACCAAAGGAAAAAGGATGGGTATCACTGGTTTAGCGTTTTGTTCGCGAGAGGTTCGTTGCCGCGTGCGCTCTCGAACTTATTTCGGTTTTGAACATACTCGTGTCGGCGTGATTCTTATTAGGAACGCGTTTACACATACGCGTGCGCGGGCGTGCGTTCCGAGGGGTTAAGCCCCGCGGGAGAGTGTCTGTTTAGGTGTATCGGCCGTCACATAACCTACCCGTACCATTATGTACGTGTATACGAAAATAATTTATTTGTGCTTGAGTAGTACGCGTAGACACAGTGACGACTGGAGCGCGACAGCTGGTCGTGAGAGGAGGGTCACGGTGGTAACGGCGGTGGCCTTTGATACAGTCGATTCGTTTACGCTTCGTCGAGCGTGTGACAGTTTTTTTCCCCCCATCAGAAAAGGGTGCGAGCGAGCGCTCGGTTATCTTTCGGGAAGTCAAAAAATATGAATCACCGACGGCCGACAAGAGGACGGCGACGACGCCCAACACGACGTACACGGCATAAACATCATACAGGGGGCAGTCACCAGTACGAGTATAGTTACCAGTAACAGAGAAAATAATACTATTATTATTATTATTATTATCGCGAGGGTAAACCGCGCTCGGACGGCTCGTGTTGCGCTCCCGTAGTGTGGTATTACACTTTTCCGTTTTAATCACGACTACTACACGGTTAGTACGCACTCCGTAAATGTACGTATACGCGGCGACTTTTCACATAGCCAATTCGGAAAGCACGGGTGGGCTACGAGCGTAAATACACGCTCGATCGAGTAAAGCGCTGTACTACATATCATTATATTCAGTGCCGCGTTGAGTTATGTAGCCGACCCGGGGAAAATTAAAATATGCCTTAAAAAAATTACGATTAGAAATAAAAAATAGAAATAATATGTATTATAGTTATACATTTATACGAGAAAAATTATATATTTTTTATTTCATGTTGATCCTCAAAAATTTGCCGCCCCGGGGCAATTGTCCCTCCTTGCTTCCCGTTAAATGAGCGGCTCTGATTATATTGGGTCGGAAACACGCATGACAACACGGGACTGTATCAATCCTACCAACCGATTCTTCTTCGGCGATGGTGTATCGCCGACAGAGACGTTTAAAGCGATTTACCAGTAGTCGAACCATGTTCCACGCGCCCGGCCGAATAAAGCGGTCCTTTGAACCGCGTGTAGTACCTAAACATATGTATATAGTAGTCATCGTCTTCCTGACAAATTACACTTTGCTGGTTTCTGGCCCACATCAAATGATCATCGCGCGCGTATACAAACGGATTTGCACAACATGTCGCCTTAAGACTGATTAATTTTAATACTCGTGCACGTGGCGCGTTGTCCGTTTGTGAAGTCGCGTGGCCACACCAAAAGGGTTATCGTTTGACATGATTTACAGAATTCATTAAAAACACATTTTCATTTTCGAAACAGTAAAAATATAATATCATAATTAAATGTATATCATATTGTCTTTGATTCAAGTAAAATCGGTCATCGCTAACGAATCGTTCGTATTCAGGTAATATGTATTACTAAATAGAGTCGCAGAGGGTAGCAAAGAAGGGAGAATCGAAAGTGCGGGATAATATTAATTCGAATAGTAAAATATTTCATGGTAGAGGTTAAGAATGGGTTGAAATAATAAAACGGTCACGTACATATAAACATACGATATGTCTGTTTTGTTTACGTTAGGAAAATGGAAGTCGATTTTATGTTCCGTACATATATGTGTAATCGATTGTGTTGGAATTCAACTTTTCGTTTAAAAAGTTTTCAAATACCGAAAGCCAAAATATGTCCATTCAGACTGCAAAACTACTCGAGTTAGTAGTAACAGTACAAGTAGGAACTTTTCCCTATTGAATTGAAAATTCGTCAGTGGTACGGAACAATAAATAAAACAGTTTTTTTCCGGGGTAATCTTTGAAATGAAATAGTTTGTTTTCTGTTTGGACGGTATAACTCATTCGAGTGGAAATTGCGGTTTTAGATTCGCGCACGTATTAAAATATTTTTCCCTTTCTGACCAATGTTGAATTAATTAGTATTAAAACTTTGTGATGTGTTTTTTTGACATGTTTTTCAACCAATAATTTACTTACTAAAAGTAATTATTTTAAGTATAATACGCTTAATGGTTACGAAGCCGTTGTGGTGTGGACGTTCTTTGATAGTTTTCGACATTACTCTTGTAAACGCAATTGAAAACTCCTAATCTTTGTCAAATCATAATTATGATTTAGTCCTTTAAACGTGTACAGCTCTGTTTTCCATTTGTTTGATAAGCCCCAGAATTAGATATGAAGAAAATATCAGAAAATTTGGTTCGATTCAAAGTTGGCGTGTTTATCACGTGTTTCACGGAAATGCTGTTTTATGTATTTTATACTTTTTTGGTGTCTCAAGATAATATTTTGATTTTTAAATAATGAGCTATAAAAATGCAAGTATTTTATTTAGGGCTAGGAATATTTGATGTTTATACTCGATGGTTCTAATCATTATTGTCTATATGTATTCCAAAAATATCCTAAAAATAAATCTTTAAGTCGTTTCATCTCAATATTTCCCTCCCCTTTCTCTTTCTCTCTTTCTATTTCTGCGCTTTTTTCTCTACGTAAACATGATCTGGAATACCAAAATCCTTTTAAATTAAGTATTGACCAGGGCAACTGATAGCACATTTAATCTGAGCTGATACATTTTTAATAAGCTTAAGTAAATCCAAAACTTCCGTTTGCTCATCATTATTTTATTGGACGATAACCATAATTGTTATGTTTCGGAAATCCTCTTTTGGCCCAGAGGGTCTTAAGACTTTAATTTTTGCGTTTATGGGGTAATTCGAAAAACGTGTTCCTAATTTACTAAATTCTTAACTGCAATTAAAACCGTTTGCCGAGGGGATAATAATAATAAACCGTTCGATATAGAACGTCGGTGTTTTATGCACGTGACGACTTTCATTTTGGGAAATTCGAAAAAGAAGTAGTCGGATTCTTCTTTTGATTTTAAGATATAGTGACTTGAAATTTTTATGAACTCGATATTTTATAGGTCGATGAATGCATAGCAATGACATTTGTGTATACAAAAAAAAAAAAGGTAGATAACTACATAAAAAAGCTTTATTATATACAAATCAATATCATATTTCCACGGAGAGAATAATGTCAATGTTGTATTTCAAAGTTTGACGAAGCCTCAACGGGAATTAGTCATCAAATATGAGTATGTATGTATAACATAATACATACTTATATTTGATGACTAATTCCCGTTGAGACTTCGAGATGTACAAGTATCAAATTATTCAATTTATTCGATTTTAACAATTAATAGCGGCACCTGAGATAACGATTACGGATTTTATGCAATAATATTTAAGTTTTATTATTGTTCTTGAATATGAAACAAAGTTATTGATTGAATCCGCAGTGTTTATGGTGGAAGAAAAAAAATGCGTACACTCGTCGGCTATTCTACAACTGGGGTAATAAAAAAAAATAAAAAAAACCGTTTCCGAAGATTGTATTTGAAACGAACGAAGAGCAAACCACGCGATCTGTGGTGTAATAGCTTATGGCAAAATACACAAGCAACTTCGTGTGTGTGTAAGAGAGTGTATTATACAGACAATCGGAATTTGCTGTTACGGAAAATAGAAAAAAGGGAAAGCGGTAGATTTCTCTAAGCACTATCGTCGAGAGTCATTTGCGCATTTTGTCGATTTTTCTTGGACTCGAGGAGCGCGAGTGTGCCGGGGGATGCGGATTTCCAAAAGTATTGGAAACAGGGATCGTGGTGAGCTTGGACCTCGAAATACTGGTGGTGCCTAAACGCACGCATACGCACTCCCACACATGCGCGCGCACTAAACGGGTCCCTCGGCGAGAGAAGAAACGACTGTCTTCACGACACTGCCACCGTTAGTTCCTCCAACGCGAGGCATAATTTATCACCCGCCTCGCGCTGTCACGTCTTGTCAGTTATCCGGCGACGGATTATACACACGACCACTACGTCCAGAGAGCCCGCATTACGTATACGATGACTACGGAGGCGGTTGCAGTGTTCTTAAGACGTTTTCAACTTTTTCTCCATTTCGGTCGTCGTCGTCGTCGTAATAGTAGTCGTTCTCCTTTTCCCCCTCATCCTTTCATCGTCTTTGTTCCTCTAGCTCCGTCGCCCCGTTGTCCCCAATACACCTCTTACACACTACGAGCCCGGCCGAAGCCTCAGCGCAAAGTTACTGCGGGCGTTTTATCCCCGTCGGTACGTGTTCGGGTTCCAAAATTATACGTCCCCGTCCTCCGTCACCGCATCGCCGTGCAGCATACCGGCTACGATGATTTACATAATAATGCACGTCGAATTCGCAGTCGTCGCGCGCAATAGGGCTCGGTCAACGGGCGCACGGAAATATCGGAAACTGATCGCGCCAATGCATGCATAGAAACTATTACAGGTGGTAGTAGTTGGTGGAAGATAGGTGGGTAGGTAGATTAGGTAGGTACGTCCGAGAAACGAAATAAATTACGAACGACGTGCCTGTTTCAAATGAATCGATTACTCGCGCAAACCGTCTTCGGGCAATGAGATGTACCGCATTGTGAAGCGCACACGTGACAATAGTGTTCGCCGCGTGAAAACATCGTTAGATGTTCGTCATTACATTTATTTATCAATCATATGAATAAATATAAATAGTATATTGGTGCTCGACTTAAAGGGAATGGAGTAGGTACCCTAAGTAATTTTCAGAAATTTTAGCGTCCCCCTACGTTGTAATTGTAACACTTAACGAGTTATGGTGACGGTTTTTTTTAAAGTAAACAGAGTTCCCCCCTTTTTTACTTTCGAGCATTGCACTATATATACATTCTATACAACCATAGCGCTACACGATAATACTCACTGTCGAGCCAGTTGGAATCGTATTTCAACGTTCTTTTGAACGCGAACTCCTTGCGCCCCGTCGTCAAGTTGAACAGATCCGTCCGGAAGATGACCGTGTCCGCTTTGGTGAACTCGGCGTTGGTGCCGCTGTACAGGGCCGGCAACTGTCCCGGGTTGCCCTTTTCTGACCAGATGGCCGTCGAGTTGTCCAGCGGGTCGTACGGGCACTTGGCCGTGCCTAATCCCACGCCGGGCACATACTCGTGCCTGGGCAAATGTGTCAGATTGGACTGCGGGACAAGAAAAATCGGGTTTACATACGGTTGGACGGCACTACCGTTTGAAACGTTGGATAAGGATAGACGATTTGAACGGAGATGAACGTTTACGATTCGCGAACGGTTGAACTCGCGGGGTCGTAAAGTTTTCGAAGGGAATTGTTTAAATTATTTGAAAAAAAAATGATATCCTGCATACACCGCCCGGATTATTCCGAGTGGTAAAATTGATATTTTTACCACAATATTTTTGTTGTTGGTATTATTCAAAATAGAATGTACATTTCAGTTAACCGTGGCGGTGTGGTTTTGCTGTGTTTGAGATTATACGAATGAAATATCATAAAAAAAATTAAGTTATTTTTTTTTTTGCTGAACTTTTTCATTTATAATCGAATAAATTAACCAGTAAAAAAAAAAAGTATTTTCTATCAATTTAAAATAAAATTAAGTATTTACACTTGAAACCTACTTATTTTATAATTAAAAGTTATCAGCTGTCGTAAAAAAAAAAAAAATCAATAAAATAAAATATTAACACCCTTTTAACAACTTTTAACTAAAAAATCACGGATGGTTTTTTATTATGGGCTTCGGCTATAACTTCGAGACGGTTACCAGTAATGTTAGTATAATGACACGTTTATCTACGATCGTATTATAGATTATTGATACTCACGTAGATCACGTAGTCCTTTGGATTGTGCGCGTTCGTGCCGCAAACGTATATCCGGCTGCCGTCGCCGATGGACTGGATCACTCGAATATGGTTTCGGCAATCGAAATTCTGTAGAACAAACGAACAATCATCGTTAAAAATTAACTTTAAAATGCGCCCGGCGTATATAGCACACAAGAAACTTTGATGAATGTTGTACGCGAGAAGTATACACTGATACAGTATGCATGCAATACTTGTGTATACATAGAGTTGTCTAATTAAATTGTCTTTGGTTGACTGTATATAAATATATTCGGCCGCAGTAGAACAATAAATGAACCGAAGTTTATTCAGAGGTATTAAAGGAAACCGAAAGTTTCATAAACATGACGGGAATTAAGTGACTGAATCCAATTGGCGGGAAGAAAGGAAGACAAATGGAAACAGGACGTCGCGTTGTCCTTCGGACGAGGATCACAAGTGCGCGTCGGCCACTCTATACGATTGGGGTTTTTGGACTGTGTAATTATTTTGACAACTTTGCCGGAGATGTACGATCGATTTTTCCTTTTACGTAAGTTATATATATATATATTTTTTCGTTGTTACCCATGCAATCGATCTGTTCTAATTTTTCCGCAGACGTTGAGTCATTATTAAATTCGTTTTAGTTGGTGCGTTATTATTTTATTTTTTTGTCGTCATTATATGTACGATCTCTGATCGATATAATATTTAGGGGAGTCGCTTGCCACCGTTAAGACGATAATTAACTACACACACGGTTTACGACAGAGACGACCACGTAACAATTGTTAATAATTGCAGAACAATGAATCCAGACATAATAGTATTGAATGCCACGTGTAAGTTGCAAATGTATTTCTACACTTCGATTGCGATTAAAAATGATTGGATTACAATTTGTAGTACAAATTTTCCACTTCCTCTGCAATGTTGTTATAATTAATTTCTGTTCGGAAAAAAAATATATTTCCCCCATTACATTATTACTAACGGAGTGTTACTGCTGTATATTGAAAAATGGAAAAAAGGTGCAATGGTATATTATTATCGTTTTAAATGTTGTAAGTTTAATAATATATATATATAAACACCTGACTGAACGATGTATCACATCGTCTTTATAAAATATGTATTTATTTATTTTATCACGTAATACATCTTAATGTAATGTTGTAAATTTAATAGCATTCTAGTAGTTTATTACATAGTAAACATAAATAATAATTTACACTTTATTGTTATAATCATATTTTTCACGGTCTTTAAAAAAAATAAAATAAAATTGATGGCCCTTATATAGAACCATCAATGGTAAATATTTTCAACTTTTATTTCTCTCCACGCCTACTATTTATATACTCGTACATATTATTTATAAACATAAGTTTATATGTTTTCTAGTTACCGTGACACTTTGGCAAAAAACAAGCCAAAAACCATTCACATTTATGCGTCATACGTCTCATGGTGTACATACCACGTGTAAGGACGATCTCGTATCCAAGTAGTTGAACAATGAGCGACGGCAGTAGTGTCGATTGTATATACCCGAAATAACGGCAGTCGAAAAAAAAGTTATAATAATAATAATAATAATCAAGAAAAAATGGATTCGTATACGACAATAAGTACAGAGGGATCGTTGGATTCTTATTTCGAGATTCCAAAACGGCCGGATATGATATAACACTTGAGGCGAGCAAATATAAATATGAAAACGAAATATGGTAATGATACCGCGGCGGTACATTTCGGGGTCGAAAAAACCCTTTTGTGTGTGCGCGCGCGAGAAACGTTCGTCATGTTATTCACAATTCAGTCGATTTCTACACGGCAGCAACGACGGTGTCTCCAGGGTAACGCTAATAGACTGCAGTCGCACACACAATGGGTGATTTCAATAGTGTAACTTCGTTATTGATAACGTATCACGTAGATGTATACAATATGCGTACGTTGCTGCCTATAGATTTTTTGCCGCATTACAATCTTGCCGGTTCACGGTATGCAATCGTATTATTTCTGCACGAAATGAGGTTCTTAATCTTGTCGCGATTACAGTGGAAACTTGTTCAACATGTACAATGGCCACCCTATCTTAAAACGAACAGGGGCTTAAAATAATTTTTGTAAAAAAAAAAAATGTTACCGATGTTTAGATTCTTAAAACACAAATATAATTTTTACCATTTAAACTTACCGATAAATATTAAAAAAAATTAAGGGTTAAGGACCTCGGATTTATGTGTTCATATTTTTTTCGCAGTACGAGCAAGTAAAGTATTAAAATGAAAGGCGATAATAACATCAACAACAAGTACAACGTGTTGTGCACCGTTAAACATTTCGTGCTTATAACGAACGACTATAGATTAAGTCACGAAAACCGATTGCGGTAAAATAAGTTAATAATTAGCCTACACGATGACGATGGCGTTCGTGGTTAATCGTGTCGCGGTGGAGTGTGTTTTGGACCCAATTAAACGCTAATTATTAGCCCGCCGATCGATAGGAAGGAGGTGATTGAATAGTGACACGGGGAACTGAAAATCGTGTCGACGACAATTAATAATGAATATTAAAGCGATGACGTAAAGAGTGATCCGAAAGATGTCAAATTACAATATCTGCGTAAAATATTTTTTGCAATCAACTAATGGCCATCGTTATCTATTTCCGGTGTTTCCATTTCGAAAAGTCATTTATTTTCCAACCGTCTTTTCTTTTTTTTTTTTCATCAACAGTTGTAGTCAGCAACACTACAAAAGAAGTATGTAATTAAACATTTTCGTTTAGACATGTTTTTTTTCTACCTGAATGGAAACTCCTATCGCATTGACGGTTGGAGATGACTTTTTGTACCTTTCGTTAGAAAGCCGTTAGGCTACCATTAACACCATCCAGTAAGCGCATAGTATAAGTGAAATTTTCAAAAATAATTTAAACGGCTATTCGATTTTTTTTCTTCTTCTTTTTCTATTAAACGAAATAAAGAAATGCAAAGTACTTTTTTTATAGGAATATATTTTTTCCGGTACTAATTTAAAAAACACGCATTTTTTTATTATTATTTTTTCACTCTAATTTAAAAAAAGCTATTTTTGTTGAAAATCATTATTAGGCTACGTAAACGAAGTATTCCAAGAATTACAAATTCTTTAGTGACATCTACAATAGAATATATGGAAAGATTTACAGGTATATGGTATTCACGAGGTGGCAGCTTTATTTCGATGACAAAAATGCATGATTCTTATCACACATTAAAAAAAAAAAAGGAATAAAAGGTTGCGGGATTATAAATCCGAACAAATAAAATTTTTTTTATCGTTCGACGGGAAAATGATCTGAACTCAAAGATATCACAAAACTATAAAGATTTTAACTGTGGAAAAAAAAATAAATATATTTTCACACTTTTATCTAACCAACTTTTGATATTTATGAAGATAATATAAGTTCATTAATTATGTACACACGAAAAATTGTACACGTATTTATATTAGCTGCATACACACACGGACTGAAGAAGTTTAAATGTCGTGAAAATCTCTACCTACACGTACACCAAGAAATCCATCGACATAATATTTTACCATCATGTACCCGTTTCAATGATGTCCATACGATGGATGGAACAAAAATAATAATAATCGTAGTAATAACATTGTATAAATAAAGAGGAATGTTTGAGGTGAAGTTGAGACGCATAGGTCTGCGTTCGAAAAAAAAGAAAAGAAAAACTACAACTACATTTTACTACACGCCCATACGCCGCGGTAAAATACTAATAAAGAGGAAAGGTTTTCATATTTTCAATTCGTTGTGCATCGTTTGGTCGAATAAAACTCGGGATGTTTTTTTTTTCGCATATAATGTACACGATGATGTTTTTTATTATTATTACTTCCCGTGCCGGCGGCAGTCGTGCGGGCTAATGTTTTTGGTGGCGAAAACGGAAAATTTCAATAACGTTTCGACCTCTACTGAATAATATACGATCACGGGGCCCACAGTCAGGGGCTCCAATCGTAAACAATAACTGGGAAAATTATTATCATTGCTTTTCGTGTACACGCGGTCGCGAGTCGCCAGCCGGGCTTGTCGCTAAATTACAATTGACTCACGTACCTATAGATAACATACGTGCGAGTGAGTGTGTCCGCATGTGAATACAACGTAAAATGTACATACACACGTGTGTAGTGTTTACACGTAGTGCGGCGTTCACCCCCGTGTATAATTTAGTATTGAACGATTGAGGCGGCAGCGGCGGCCGAAGGGATTTCGCGATTACAATCGGAAACCGTATTCAAAACGTTTGTGCTAGCATGAATGATGGGCGTTTGTGTCGAAAACGGATGACAAAGCGCCTTGGCCGCCGGGCCTCGTTCCTGCCTGCGGTTAACCGGACGCGATATCCAAATCTTTATTATTTACCATCGCCCAGGGAATCGGTGTGCCGCTTGCGTGTGCGCTTGTGACCGATATTGAAATCCAATGGATAAATTCCGACGGGTATCGGACGCGCCAGGGTTCGGGGTCAGGAAATTGTGCCCGTTTGGCCTGCAACCTTTCGGCCGATCTCGTTTCGCGTTTATCTGTAGCTATGGCGGCAGCAAAACAATATTATTATATAATATGATATGCAAACGATATCCAAAACGTTTATCGTCATGCTTCGATATAATTTATATATATTACAGTAACTGTAGGCCACCATATGCCCATTATTCATATATTATAATTCGTACGCACTTAGCATTACACACACACACACACACACACACACACACACACACACACACACACAGATTTCGACCACCGCCAACGTCTATACGTAGTGGAATACGTTTAGAACAATATTATAAGCATTATTTAATGACATATATTTGATATTATGTGTACCATTAAATGAACTTGAAAATGGTAGTTAGACCTTTTCGTTCTTTCATGCAGTATATGTCATGGAACTCAGCCGTTAAAAAACAGTGAACCGTATGGTCCTCCGCAGTATATCAAATATGATATGTTATAAAAATTAAAGAACAGGAATGGGATATGTGTAGAAGAAACAGTGTTATTATTTGGGTTTCGTT